ACTCTGATTCTAGGAACCAAGAGTGTTATTTTGACACTAGATTCAGAGTCAGGACATATGTTTTCAGTTCTGGGTTTGGAGATGAGGTGTTAATTTCTCTGGCTCATATCTCAAACATAGGCTGTAATTCTTTTCCTAGTAATGAGCCCTAGGGCCAGGATTCTACTGTCTTACTCTGTGATTGGTTGGTTTCACAAGTCAGTTCACCAGGGTCAGAGATGGCTCTGATTTGATCCAAACTGTGTTTCTTTCACGAGCTTTATCTGAGCCAACTTTTCCTTGTTCTGGGCTTCAGGGTGAAGGTGGGTTTCTTTAGATAGCTTTTATCCCCTACATTCCCCCCTTTTTTGTTTAGAAATAAGCCACTGGGGGTTGCAAAGGGCAATAAGCAACTGGGATTTGAAAAGGGTAATAAGGAATTAGGAGTTGGAAAGTGTAAATAAGCATCTCGGGGCTGGTAAAGTGGGGGTTATCATTAAACTGTTTCCTACTGATTTGGGGCATCGAGGTTCTTGGAACAATCTTGATCTTCCTTCTCAGGTTGTAAACAGGTTCATCAGATCTGGCTTTGTCAATAGGGACCAGTAATCCTGTAATATTAAGTGGCTCAGAGTTCGGTTACAAATATTTTGGATCTGTTGTTGAAGCAATCTAACCAAGATGTTTATGAGGCAGGGTGCAATTAGTATGGCTAGGCAAAAAAAGAAAAGAGGGAATAAGAAAGGCAGAATCCATTTCCATATCTGACTGTTAGTGCTCCACTGTCTGGGGGCATCAAGCTGTTTTTTTTTTGTTTGAAGATTCATCTGGTGTTGTTGGATCTTATCTTTGACTATCCCTGATTAATTGTCATAAAAGCATCACTCTTCCCCAAGAAAGAGACAGACCACCTCTTTCTGCTGTTAATAAATCTAATCCTCTCTAATTTTGTAATACTACAGTGGCCAGTGAGTTTATTAGTTCCTGAAGAGTAAGGATGATCTGAGCTACTCATTGGAAATCCTGGATGAATTATGAGGAAAGCTGGTGGTAAATATCTAGGGGAGTAGTCAGTCCTGCTATTCCAGTGGCTATACCTGCACTTATGCAAAGGGCTGCTAGAAAGAGTATTATTTGAATGGCTCATTTGTCATGCCTTGCTGCTATAAACTTGGTGTTGGGAATTGGCAAGGGCTCTTCAACAGGTACCACCTCTAATTTACAAAACAGTATTACCAGGGTACGATTCCTAGACCACCTAGCAGGTAAACAGTGATAAAGATGAGTACCACAAAGAATAGAGGCATTGTGAATGTTTGGACATAGGGGCTTGGTGTTAGTAGCAAGGGTAATAGTATTACTGCCGTCTGCGGAATCCAGAATACACACAAAGTGTATTCCTGAGGACTTAGAGTAGTCTGTAATGCAAAAAAGAGGAATGTGAGAGAGACAAGTGGTAGTAGAGACATTTCGCTTGAAGCAATAACAAATTGTAAGGTGAGAGAATCTAATAGGACAATGGGTGAGGCCACAAATGGTGAATGAGCATTTGACCCTGAAGGGACACATAACCAATGTTCTCCAAAGCTGTCAGGCTGAGCATCATTGTACAACTGATATACGGTAGTTAGGATCTGAAAAAAGAGATGGTGTGACAAGGAGGTTGAATAAGCATCCTCAAATAAGGGTGACATTCGGGATGTGAGAGGGTTTGAGGAGCTTTGGACCACTTCTACTGTTTCTATACCTAGGGGTTGAGAAAGTCACATGTATACCCTCTGTATTTTGAGTGTTAACAACGGCATCCATTCACTATGGGATATCTCAGCAAGGATCTTCTGTTCAGCTCCCCCTTGCTCAATCCACTACATGACATCCCAGCATGGTTTTTCTGTGTACCAGTGAATGAAGATCTTCACATTCAAAATTCTTTTGAGATTTATTTGAGAAGGAAGAGTCCAGGAGAGTATCTGCCTCTATCAGAATTGAAAGAATAGCTCACAACTGACCAGGCAGGGTGGTTTATATAGGAAATCCTGGGAGCAGAGTCAACCTGTGATTGGTTAGTTTTTTTTTCTTGCCCAGGGATTGGCCAGTTATGTGGGCTAGGGACAGAGATGGCCCTGATTTCAGGGCCAAACTGTATTTTTTTCCACTGGCCTTTCTTGGCTTTTTGACACTAGCTCTAAGATCAGGGCTCATTTCTTTTACTGACTCTGATTCTAGGGACCAAGAGTGTTATTTTGGCACTAGATTCAGAGTCAGGGCCTATTTCTTTGGTTCATTTTTCTGGCTCAGGTTCCAAACATAGGCTGTGTTTCTTTCCCTGGTCCTGAGCCCTAGTGCAAAAATTCTACTGTCCTGGTCTGTGATTGGTTGGTTTCAAAAGTCAGTTCACCAGGGGCAGAGATGGCTCCGATTTGAACCAAACAGTGTTTCTTTCACTGGCCATATCTGAGCCATCTTTTCGTAGTTCTGGGCTCCAGGGTCAGAGTGGGTTTCTTTAGTCAACCCCTTTCCCCTACAGTTATGACAAAACAACAGTCATAGATAGTACATAATCTACCCTTAGAATTGTACTCAAGAGACTGACACACAAGGATCATGAATTCTAATGCATCCCTGGCTAATTACTGACATTCAAGCCAGGCTAGATAACAAACATTTCAAGCACATTTGTGAATATTAAATATTAAAAATACAACCATGAATATTAAATAATAAAAAAACAACCATGAACAAAAATACATCACCCTTTCACAGAAACCCTTACTTGAAAGTGTGATCACATACTGCCTGAGAGTTAAATAAAAATGAACCTCTTAGATGATAGCCATCACATTCTATACAAGGCAGCAGATAAATACCTCTGAATAAGTGAAAGTGCAAAAGAAGATGAACAAATGCCACAGAAGGAATATAAGGACCACAAAATAAACTTTACTAATTGAATTTGCCACACATATCCCACACTTCAATATCTTTCTCACATGTTGCAAAATAGAAGCCACACCTCTGAATAAGTGAAAGTGCAAAAGAAGATGAACAAACACCACAGAAAAAATATAAGGACCACAAAATAAACTTTACTAAATAAATTTTCCACACATATCCCACACTTTAATATCTTTCTCACATGTTGCAAAATAGAAGTCACAATGGGATCTTCACATCAGTCTTTGGTGAACCTGGTTAGTAATTTATTTACTTCAAATCTACAATAAAAAAACTTAAAACAAGTTTTTTTCCTTGAAATTGAAAACCACTATGATGTCTAAAATCTTAACCAAATTGTTTACATAAATGGGGTTTTCTTTCATATGAGTACCTATCTATTTCCTGACATCAAGATGATATAAAAAGCTTTAAAATATTGACAGGGATAGCGACATGGCCAAGACTTTAACACATGTTCATTCCCTGGACCAAGATCTGGTTTTGGACTTCCAGTAATTCTTACAACAAGAAGCTCCAATAGTCTAACCTTCTCTGGAACCAAAATGCACATACATGTACCCAGAGGAAGACACTCACATATAGCATAATTAAAATAAAAACAAATATTTAAACTAATTTTTAATCATGAATTTTTTTTATATTATAATTCTGGTAATATGGGTTTTGAAGCATCTAAATGATTACAGAAATTTTCTCCATAATGACTTAGTCCATTTAACAGAAAACAAGCATGCAGTCTTGAAGTTGGAGTAATCTCTCATTTTCAGTCTGTGACATCATTTGAGAAGATTTAGAAAATGATACCATGCGGGAAGAATTCAGTCGTGAGGGTTGGCCTGAGCATTTATATCTGCACACCATTTCTAATTTACACTTTCTGCTTTATACTGCAGGGTAAGAATGTGAATTCTTAGCTGCCTGCTTTAGCTGCCATGTGTAACACTTGTTTCCATGCCCCTTTTATGGGGTACTTGTACTGCTCTGGAACCAAGGGCCAAATTAAAACCTTTTCTAAGTTCACTTAGATATGGTCTATTATCAAAGCAACAGAAAAGGAATGATACACATCTGTGAAAATTTACACCAGAATTCATTATTTCATGTATTTGAAGAGAAGTATGAAATCTAAAAGAGTTACATTATCACTTAACTTTATAGGTCTTTTGTCCATATTATTTTTAGAGCTGAGGATCGAACCCAGGGACTTGTGCCTGCTAGGCAAGCGCTCTACCACTGAGCTGAATCCCTAATCCCTCTTTTGTCCATATTATTTGACAGGTGTAAACAAAATAAAAAGAGATATTATAATGCTTGAACATATTATTGACACATTTTAATTTTTTTCCAAAATAATTAATCTTGTGTAGTTGAATATAAGTATGTTGGATCAAGATCATACCAATTCATATATATTCAGATTTCCTTTGATATGAGTTCTTTTCAGATCCTCAAAGTCTAATGTTATATTCAAAGGCTTAAAGATACCAATTATACACTAAAAGTTTTACAGTTACAGGGTTGCTCTGTGTTGTGACTAGGCATTACCACATTGATTATATTCATAGGATTTCTCCTCAATATGTGTTCTTTAATACACTTCAATATGACTGGGCTGTGCAAAGGCATTACCACACTGTTTATATTCATAGGGTTTCCCTCAGTTATGAATTCTTTCATGCAATTGAAGAGCACTATGATGAACAAAGGCTTTCCCACACTGATTACATTCATAGGGTTTCTCTCCAGTATGTGTTCTTTCATGCCTTTGAAGAACAGTGTTTTGGGCAAAGGCTTTACCACACTGATTACGTTTATAGGGCATCTCTCCTGTATGTGTACTTCTATGTACTTGAAGGTTATGGGGCTGAGCAAAAGGCTCTATCACATTGATTAAATTCATAGGGTTTCTCTCCAGTAGGTGTTCTTTTATGCCTTTGAAGATCACTATAACATGCAAAAGCTTTACCACATTGTTTTCATTCATAGGGCTTTTCTCCTATATGCGTTCTTTCATGCAATTGAAGAGCATTGTGATGAACATAGGCTTTACCACACTGATTACATTAATAGGGTTTCTCTCCAGTATGTTTTCTTTTATGTACTTGAAGATGACTGGACTGTGCAAAGGTTTTACCACATTGTTTACATTCATAGGGTTTCTCTCCAGTATGTGTTCTTTCATGCCTTTGAAGAGTATTGTTTTGAGCAAAGGCTTTACCACACTGATTACATTCATATGGTTTCTCTCCAGTATGTGTTCTTTCATGCAATCGAAGAACACTAATACAAGCAAAGGCCTTCCCACACTGATGACATTCATAGGGTTTCTCTCCAGTATGTGTTCTTTTATGTACTTGAAGATTGTGGGGCTGTGTAAAGGCTTTACCACATTGATTACATTCATAGGGTTTCTCTCCAGTATGTGTCCTTTTATGTACTTGAAGATGACTGGACTGTACAAAAGCTTTACCACATTGTTTACATTCATAGGGTTTTTCTCCTGTATGTGTCCTTGCATGCAATTGAAGAGCACTGTGTCGTGCAAAGGCTTTACCACACTGATTACATTCATAGTGTTTCTCTCCAGTATGTGTTCTTTTATGTACTTGAAGATGACTGGGCTGTGTAAAGGTTTTATCACATTGATTACATTCATAGGGTTTCTCTCCCAGATGTGTTATTTTATGTAATTGAAGAACTTTCCAATGAGAAAAGTCTTTTGCACATTCATTATATCCATAAGGTTTTTTAACAGTATGTGTAGTTTCATGCCTTTGAAGATGATTGTGTTGTGTAAATGTTTTACCACATTGATAATATTCATTGGATTTCTCTCCAGTATGTGTTTTTTCATGCCTTTGAGAAAGACTACATGCAAAGGCTTTACCACTCTCAGTATATTCATGTGATTTCTTTCTAGTATGACTTTTTTCATGCCTGCAAGAATAATTGAAAAATTTAAAATCTTTACCACATTCATTACATAGTTGAGTCTTTATATCTGCATGAATTAATTTTACAATTGGTCTAAATATATACAGAACTGAGATCTTAATGTTTTAGCATATTGTTTACACTCAAGTTGTTCCCCTGCATTAAGGATGGCTTTGCATATTTGAACATGCCTGTCATGATAAGAACCTTTATGACCTGGCTCATGTTTATGGCATCATTTTTCTTTGAGATTTTTCACATATTTGAAGAGAACTGTGAGAATTTGGACATTTACCTCACTTATTCCATTGATAAATTTTCCTATACTGTGAGTCATGCTACATGTTCAAATTTAACCAGGACAAACAGCAGCATGTACAGAGACAGTCCTAGTACCCAAAGGGCTTTTCTGTGGTGTATTTGTTGATCTATTCTTAATGAACCTGGAAAACCAATTGTTTGTAAACTTGAATCACATTCAAGAAGTTTACTCAACATGGGACTACTACATATCTTCTATGCTCTGAAATTGAGAGATGGACATTATTTCTTCCCATATCTTTATGTTCATAGAACTGGTATCCAGAGTGACATATGATATAACTATTAAAGAAAGAATAAAAATAAGAACATTTCCACATTTCATTTACAGTTGGACTTTCTGTTCCTCATCAATATGTGGTTTAGGGAATAATGTTTCTCTACAATGATTCCCCTTTCCCCTTAACTCTTGACTCTATCTACCCATTTAACTTAAATTGGAAAAGACAGAACACCTATATGAGTAAATATTCTATGGACTATTTGCTTATTACAAGGTTGTGTATATATTCTTATCACATATTCAATGAGTATATCTTTTGTAATATGAAAACTATGAAACTTAATGGATGGTCAGTTGTACAGCATAGCTTTGATGAAGCTATTATTCAAATGGTGATTTCTGCTAAGGCATTGTTCTTTTCTTCCTTCTTAAAAGAATGACTTGCAAACATAATTCACTTAACTACCATTGAGGTACATGTGTTTATGAGCATCTAATTATCATAGATGCACTTTAAACAGTGATTATTTACACTGTTTCATTTCACTAAAGCTTCCAGATAAATTATATATATCTACAGGCCCATTTTTATCAGCTTTTACATGAAAATTACCTTCCATGTTTTTGAGAACTTTGACAATGTTCTTCAACTTCAAGATCATCCCAATTGTAGCCTAAAATAAAGGACAAGAAAAATGTATGAAATATTACAGAAAACTGAAAAATTAACATTACTATCTTCTGTGATCCTTAGAAACAAATCTGATTTATTCATTTCATTCTTCCTCATTCTCAATCAGAATTGCAGAAGAGCATCAATAACCAAGAAACAGTTGTACCCTTATTTAAAATGTGAAGGAAAATTTATAGTATTACCTATAGCTATGAGGTTCATATAGGTCTCCACCATCACTTCTTTGTAAAGATTCTTCTGTGAAGGATCCATCAATGCCCACTCTTCCTGAGTGATGTCGATATGCACATCATTATAGGTCACTGCATTCTAAAATATGTCATACATAAATATGCCATCCATGTGAATAAAACAAAAGGCATGATACATCATTGTAAATGTATGCTTCTTTGACAAATAGCCACATAATTCTGGTGACTGCTACACATATTCTATAACTCAGACATTACTGTGAAGTCATCAAGTTACTTCACAAAGAAACTGAATAGGAGATTTACATCTATTATTTCTGAATGCTTTGAATTGAATATCATCATGCAAGAGAAATGTCTATTAACAGAGATAGAGAAACAAGCAAACACTTCAACAGTACTGAGCACACATTAGAGAAATTACATGAACCATTACTAACTACAAAGAAGATTTGTAAGCTGGGTTTAATGGCTCATGCCTTTAATCCCAGAACTTGGAAGGTAGAGGAAGTTTTGTGTGCTTTTGAGTTGAAAGTTAGCCTAGTCTATGTAGTCAGTTATAGGACAGCAAGAAGTAAATATTAAAGACTCATCTGCACTGTAAACTTCCAACAAATAAATAAAAAGATAAGATGAACTCAGAGATTGTTTTACTGAAGTTCCTACAAAGAGTTAAGCATTCACTCTAGTTCTGTATTCATCTTCCAGAAATTTGAATTACTCCAGTTTAAACTGTACTTTAATAAATCTTACTAAAAGGAACTGTGTATTTAAGCAGTTACAAATAGAAAGATGATAATATTAGAAATATCAATTTTGTTCATAAATAATCAATACAGGGAAGAAGAAAAGGCTCAGAAGTTAACAGCTCTTACTGTTCTTGTATATAGAGGGGTTCAATTGCCAGTACTTATAAGGGGAATCACACAACTGTTCATTATTCCAAGCTTGTGGGTTCTAAGACTCTCTTGGGTCTACTGTGAGGACCAGGCATTCATGTGGTGGATATCCGTTTATACAGAAAAACAAATCATATTTATTAATAAACATCAAAGCAAATACAACAAGCAAAAAGAATGCCACACACTTGTAATCTAATGACTCAGAAGGCCCAGGCACTATTACTGTCATGAATACTACATTCTAGAAGTGAATGATATCCTTGGCAAATTTCAACATTCAAGATGGTGGGTAAAGCTCAGCAAAACAACATATGCTTGACATGTACAAAAACATATACTCTAGGCCTATCACACAAAATATGTATAAAAAAATCCTTGGGCCGGGTGGTGGTGGCACACGCCTTTAATCCCAGCACTCGGGAGGCAGAGCCAGGCGGATCTCTGTGAGTTCGAGGCCAGCCTGGTCTCCAAAGCGAGTTCCAGGAAAGGCGCAAAGCTACACAGAGAAACCCTGTCTCAAAAAACCAAAAAAAAAAATCCTTGATTGTTGGCCAATCTTTAATCTCAGTATGTGGAGAAAGAGTCAGGTGAATCTCTGAGTTGGAGGCCAACCTTGTCTACAGAGCTACATTTAGAATAGTCAGGGCTACTCAGACAAAGTTTGTCTTCAGGATCAAAAATAAAAACTACAGAATTAAAAAAATCAGGGTAGCAAAAATGGCTTAGCATTGAATATCAGTTCCTTTAGTTGTATCTTATCTGATTTAGTGACACTATATATACTGGTGGTGAAGTCATGACAGCACAAGAAGGAAGCTCCGTGATTCATTTCAACTGCAACTTAGTAGAAACAGAAAAGGAAATGGGTTGAGGCTATCACAACCACCAATGAGATATTTCATCCAGAGAGATTCCTCATACTAAAGGTTCCAATGGCAACCCAAAGAAAGTCACCAAGGAGAGACACATGTTCACATTCCTCATCCTATCTGGGAACTTTTCATTCAGTTGATTAGATCCTGACCCAGGTCACTATAGCCTCAGGTTCATCCATAAAAAAAAAAGAGCATTTAGTCACTTCAATGATGCTCATAGTCTGCAAAAGCCCCTACACTGTTCAAATACCCAAAATCTCTTTCAACACTCATATCCAATTCTTGACTGTGTCATTTTATAAAAACAAAGAACACGTTAAATCTTTCCAACATACAAATGGCACAGAAAACCCATTCTCATTTCAAAGAGGAATTGAGACATAGTGAGGGAAGACAAAGGGAAGACTGAAACCCAGCAGGACAACAATCAAATCTAGTTCTGTGTCAGACACATGCTTCACTTTCAAAGGGCTTAGATTTCTACATCCCCAGAACTTCCCATTCATCTCTCTCTTTGCAGCTAGTTCTCCATTAAAGACGTCTCATAGCTTAAGTAGCAAACCTCTTATGGTCTCAAAATACAACCAAGATGATAGAAGTCCTTAAAAAGAAAATGAATAAGTCTCAAGTAAATTTATGAAAGCACAAATAAAGTATTGGAGTAAACAAACAACCTAAATAAAGCCAATAAAAAATAAACAAATAGTTGAAGGAAACAAAACGGTTTAAGACCTCAAATGGAAATAGAAACAGTAAAGAAAACAGAAACTGAGGCTATTCCAGAAATGAAAAATACAGGACCAAAAATAGGAAATACAGAGGCAAGTTTCACCAATAAAATAGAGAAATGGAAGAAAGAATATCAGGCACTAAAGATACAATAGAAAAAATGGACACATCAGTCAAAGAAAATGTTCGATATAAAACTTTCTTGACACAAAACAACCAGGTAATCTGGGACATCATGTTTCAGGGACTATGTGGGTCCAGCTCCTCAATAGTCTCATCCCAGGGTCCAGGAAGAATCTATAGCCAGTGGGTAACTTAATCTTTGATGGCAGGAAATGAATCTATGTATACAAAACTTTTCATTCCATACACTTTGTTCTTCTGAGTCAATTTTTGTTTGTACTCCTTCTATTCTGCTCTCTCATCTAGCATCTTTCTGGCCTGATTAATATCTACATTTATGTGCTGTCACCTCTAAATTCTATCTTAATTCTCTCATCTAACTTCTGCCCCATCCAGGTTCTCATTCACCTAGTTCTTTTCTATATTAGCTTCTTTCCCATCTCTTTCATCTTGTTCTTCCCCAACTGGTTCTTCCTCACCTTCCATCTTATTCCTCTATTACTCCCTTCTAGCCCTTCAATCCAGTTCTTTCACATTTCAGTTCATTCCTCTCCAGTTCTTAAACATCTAGTTCTTCTATTCTCTTTTCTCTTCTCTGTCTCATCCCACTCTGGAAATAAAACTGTCATTTTATCCCTTTGACCCTTGTCTCTCCAAGATATTGCTGCTCCTGCTGTTTCTGACAAGTGTGCTCAGACATTAGACAACTTGGCTTGGCAACTTCCATCACAGCTAGATGTCCCTTAAGTAGGAAACCTTCAGTTCTGAGTTAATTGTGAAGGGTGGATCTAAAACTAGAGATAAGACCTTAGAAAGGAGAAAGTTAAACTTAATCAGCACATCCACCTGGTCTCCTCAAACAGATACTCTGCATGCTTAAGTCTGTTCTTAGAAAGTACAGAGCAGGCCGGGCAGTGGTGGTGCACGCCTTTAATCCCAGCACTCGGGAGGCAGAGCCAGGCGGATCTCTGTGAGTTCGAGGCCAGCCTGGGCTACCTAGTGAGTCCCAGGAAAGGCGCAAAGCTACACAGAGAAACCCTGTCTCGAAAAACCAAAAAAAAAAAAAAAAAAAAGAGAAAGTACAGAGCATCCTGATAAGACGCTTTTGTGCTTCTGGGGATGGTCCTGGCTGGATTCTGCTAATGATGATAATGACAGAGGGCCTAAAATTCAGGATGCTGGCTAAATTGCTGCACAGAAAGTTATCTAAATATTCCTTTAGTAGAGAGAAAATTGTACCTAGTGAATAGTGAAAAAACTGCAAGAGCACATGATAAATTCATAGCAGGAAACAGCTAATAATAAAAGACAATATTAACAAGACTCCTTGAGCCTCAGTCTGATCTTGTTCCAGGTATTAGCCTGACATAATCAGCTGAAATCCTGCCTCATATATTTTGAAGGCTTGCAGCAATTATGCCAAGATCAAACCTATGAATGATAAAAATAGAGGAAAGAGATAAAACCCAGCTCCAATGTCCTCTAAATACTTTTAATAAAATTGTCTTAAAATTTTTTTTCCTAATTTAAAGAAGGTGTTGATGAAGGTATAAAGAAGCATTCAAAACACCAAATAGATTGGGCCAGAAGAAAAAGTCCACTTGTCACATAATATAACCAAATCACTAATCATACAGAACAAAGAAAAAATTTTAAAACCTGAAAAAAAAAAAACAAAAAAGAGTAGCCTATAAAGGAAGACCTATGAGAATTACACCTCCCTTGTCAGTGGAGATTCTAAAATTCCTAAGGCCTTAGACACATGTAATGCAGGCTCTAAGTAACCACAGAAGCCATCCCAGATTACTATATCTAGAAAATTTTCAATCATCGTAAATGAAGAAAGTAAGATATTTCATAATAAAGTCAAATTTAAACATCATCTTTGTACAAATCCAGCCTTACAGGAGGTTTTTAGAAGAAAATACCCAACCTAAGGAAGATAACTACACACATGAAAACACAGTAAATAAATAATATCACATAAGCAAAATCAAAAGAAGAGAAACACACAACATTAACACAAACACAAACTAACATACTCTCATACACATACCATCATCATCATAAGTAACAACAACAAAAACAACCAATTAAAAAGTATAAATAATAATTATTCCTGATATCTCTCAATATCAAATGGCTCAGTTCCTCAGTGAAGACACAGATTAACAGTATAGATTCACAAACAATCCATCCTTCCACTGCATAAAAGAAACACTTCAGCATCAAAGATGGATTACTAAAAGGTAAAGGCTGGGAAAAAACATATTTAAAGAAATTGAAACTAAAGAGCAGGCTAGAGTACCCATTTATTATGTACCAAAATAGACTTCACACAAAAATTCATCAAAAGCGGTGTGGATAAATACTCCTTAGTCATCAAATATGACATTTCAACTATTAATATCTATGCCCCAAACACAAGGTGA